AGTTATTCCCTATCTCTTAACTGACTGAGTCAGAGATAATAAGATATATAATTACTTATTATTTAATAAGGCGGTTACCGATCTGATCTATATAAGTCGATTAGTCGATAATTACAAACACACAACTCATTCTTCTACTTTCATTATCTCTAAACTCAGTCAGTTAAGAGATAGGAAATAACTGACGGCTACTGAGTTGTGGGTTGGGCCTCTGCCCATTGGGCTCACTTGTATGGTCCTCCTATCACGGTCCACACAAGATCATAAAGACTAATCTGTTTGGGCTTATTAATTAATGTTAATCCATAATTAAATAAATATTCCAACACACTTTTTAATTGGTGTTCAAGGGTTTTAACTTCTACATCAGACACATAGCTGGTTTCTAGTCTGATTGGCAATTTGGTCCAATAATGGCAACACTGATAATCTCTCTCTCTCTCTCTCTCTCTCTCTCTCTCACACACACACACAATTGAAGCATTGATCTTTTTATTCCTTATTCTTTACTAACAAATTAAATAAATTTTTTCTATGTGTTATATAATAGAATTTGAGAAATATACTGTACTATTAATACATCATGAAAAAAAATACACTCATTTCACATAGATTTCATGCAAACATGAAAATCGTATCCTGCTTCATTTTTCCATAACAATCACAATTGTGATATAGCACCGTAAAGTTTCCCCCTTTTCAGTTATAAGAAGCATCCATCAAGTAGTATATACTTCTCTATCCTACTTGTAATTGTAGGTAATTTCTAACATTTTTATTATAATTTAAAAATCTAAAACTTCATTAACTTTGGATAACAATTTAATAAGTTTTTAATTTTATTCATATTAAACGTATATATTTAAAATAAAATATTATAACATTTAATAAACTTTTCAACATTTAATAGAGGTATCAAATGAACATGGTATTCATTGAGATATCTTATAAATAAAATTAAAATAAATATTTTCCTTATTTATAAAACAGGACCAGAGTAGTATTATTGAAGATAGAATTGTCCATGGAAGTTATTGCAGAATAAAAGTTTGGTTGAGTTTGTGTGGAAGACAGGAGACCCAATTCCCGGATTCCTTAATATGAATAAGACATATAGACATGCATGCATGTGATTCATGTCCTATCCCTACCATCTCATCCCATTCTCGGAACACACCATGTGTTTCTCTGTCTCTTTGCACCTCCACATTCCAACACCACTTAACACTCTCCAATTTCATCATGCTTTTCACTTTTCTTATAAATATGTTATCCGTGTTATAATATAAAATATTTTTTAAAAGATTTTCTTCATTCAAGATATAAAATATTAGGTAATTTTTATAATTATTTTTTAAATTATATTTTTACTTCACTTATTACTCATTTTTTAAAAAAATAATGGATTAGAGTTTCAATTATCATTATTAAGACACTTATATATAATGTTAAATAAGAGTATAATTGAAAAGATATACATTTTTTTAAGATATTTAGGTTTTGCCTAACTATTTTTAGAATTGTGAAGTAGTTTTTAATACTCCATATTATGATCTAGAAAGAATAAAGTCTTTTTATTTTTATTTTTATTTTGCTTTTGTTAGGTGTGTTTTTTTTTGCGTTAGTTTAAGATTGGCACTCTTAGAACCACACCATCTCTTTGGCTTGTCTAGGAAAACATGTAATTAATCATATGTTCACCACAAAACAAAAGGAATAATTTGTGATGAAAAAAAAAATATTCATAGCAAATCCACCACCAAAAAGAAAATTTTTGATACCTTGATTTTTAGGGAATAGTCTATCACAATTCACAAAATCAATTCGCAACAATTTTTTTTTATTGTGGTAGCAAAATTTAGATTTTCTTATGAAACTCCCATACATTTCTAGCTATTAATTTAGGATCTGAAAGCATTTCATATATATATACATATATAGTTTTTTGATTTGGTTGTGTTTGTGATTTTACTAGTTTTAACTTGGCTGTCTTAGAACCAAATCATATCTTAGCTTGTCTAAGAAAAATAGATAATCACAGAGCAAAAAAGAAAATTTGCGAGCAAAAAATTTGTGATTGTGGTGGAATAGTCCGTTTACTAAGTATATTTGCAACAAATTAATTCTTTTTTAACAGTCACAAAAATTTTTTGATCTTATGAACACTATAATCTAAATTTGCCTTATATTAATGGCAATTTTTTTTAACTTTGCCTTGTATTATTAAGGATTAAATAGAGTATCGTTTATGAATAATGCAATTTATTTTGCATATTTTATTTTATATTCCTTCCATTCAGCATAAAGACATATCTAGCAACTTAATTGTGAGGTGTCTACCTTTGCCAGAGAGATAATCTCTATTATTGATGGAGCTTAATTTCTGTATTATAAAAAAGTATTATAAAATTTTTTGTCTTTAAAATTACACAGTTTTTACAAGTTTATTATTATTTAATAGGGTATCTCATTGTGTCAGTAAAAAATTTTATTAATACATTCAAAATTAAGGATATTTTTTTAAAAATCTTTATTAATTCCATCTTAAAAGACCGAAAATGAATTATATTTTTTCAATATGACACTTTAAAAAAATGCTTTATAGTATTAAATAGATAGGGTATATAGTTATATAAATTATTTACATCCATCAATTAGTTTATATGTCAAAATATAAGAAAATTTGATCAAAAATAAGCTTTTATTAATTATACATTTTCAATATTACCATTTAAGTGGAAAGAGAATCAAATGATTATAGCGTATCGATTAAGTATTGAGATTTAAAGTTATATTAAATGAAAAGCATTCCTAAAAACTTATATTTTTATTTTAAAAAAATAAATTTATAAAATATAATTATTTAAATTTTATTAATACACGGAATTTTATTTTAAATTATTTTATAATTTGAGAAAGGGAATTTAAAGGGACAATGATGTGCCCCATAGAAATTAATGTTCTAGCCACATGACTTGCTTCTACAAACTGTTGAAATTTTTATTTGTTAATTAACCTTAAAACAAGTACAACCCAATGCAATATATGAGAGAAACAGTAAGTTAATATTGTTTTGAAGGTTGTACTAACTTTTTCTTGAACATTTAACTCTTGCTAAAATATGGAGAGAATCTAAAAGCTGCACAAAACCCAATAAAACTTACGAAAAAAATTAAAAGAATAAATAAAATTGCATGGAATATGAGACGAAGACGAGTTTCATTATTATAACCACGGAATAGTGTAATTTATTTAGATTTTATATTTGATTTTGACATTAATATATGATGTTGGATAGTATTATAGTCATAAGACTTGCTTCTACTCGTCATTAAACTTTGTTAATTCATGTGATCCATGATAAGTGAGATGTTGCTTATCAGTGGATGTCAAAACCCTATGGGGAAGCTATTAGTGCAGGAAGCTGCACTTCAAAGAGTAGGTGATACTATACTGCATTGCAAGAAGGAGTTCATGAGTGCTAATTGCTTCTGTGTTTGTGTTCGGTTTCTTCTTGAACCCTGATTGGCATTCTTGTGTTTTTTGCATAAGTTTTAGTAACTTCAGTTTTGGTTTGGTTGCTCATGTTGTCCCCAACCTACCCGCTTCAACTTCTGTTGTCTCTATCTCTCTGTTGGCTTCTCAATAGCATTGCAAATCCCAAAGGGTTATTTCATGCCTCTCCTTAAAACCTATGCCACTTATGCCTTTGATTTTATTTATAAGACAAAGAGAGAAGATTAATTTTTATTCTATTCATATAATATTTTATTATTTTCTATATTCATGTTTACCTTTATGTTCTTATTGAATGTTAGTAAAAAGCATTAAAAATAATTCTTTTTATTTTTATTAGTAGTAGAATTGAAAACTTATTAAATTTTAAAACAGAGTTAATAAAATTTAAAATTTTTCTTGATTTCAGTAAAATATATTTAAATTGACTTATATATATAATTAAAGAAAGTATTTGGGTGTTGTTCAATTGTTAACTTGTTATGTTCTTTTTCTTACCTTTGTCTCTTATTTTTCTTGTGTTATAGCCTACAGCACTTTGAACCCAAATTCTCTCTCCGTTTAAAAATATAAAGTATTTTTAATCAAATTTTACTCTCCAATAAAGCAGTTATCGACTTTTTAACTAACTCTATCTTTTCATATTTGCTTCTATTAAATATTCTACAATAAATATAAAGTTATTATCAATAAGGGTACTTTTGAAAAAAAAGTTAATGATTACACATCGAAAGATTAAAAATGACTTATATTTTTGAATGGAGGGAGTATATGTTTAGTTGATTTGAGTCTTTTTATGTAATCATTTTATTTTGATGAAAATGATCCGTTACTAAAACAAAAAAGACTATAAAATGAGGTCAACTATCAAGAACACCATATTTCCTAAAATTATAAATAAGCAACACATTCCATTCAGGAATTAATATAACTAAATAAAAGGTATAAAACTTAAAATCTCACCAACATGGGTTGATTTTAGTAAAAGAAAATGTGACTTTTTAACCATGGGATTTGGGTTCAAGTTTATGTGAACATAAAAAATATTTTTTAAAAAGATAATTTTAATCGATGTTAATAATGTTCGAATGTGAATTAATCATAAAGCCATATTAAAAAAAAAATTAAAATCTCAATAGAGACGTAAAATATTTGGATTTTCTTTCTCTTCCGATTTTGTTAATTTAAAAAAAGTGTGAAACAAACTTAAATCCTTTTCATGTCAATGAGATCTACTCGAATGAAGTAAGGATCTCACACCATTCCGAAGAGTATCTAAATTAACGTTTTAGGGAACTGTTTCCAACAAGATAGTGAATCCCATTGTTTTATGCCCATCTCAAAACCATATTGGGCTTACGTTTTGATTAGTTTTGCTGTAACCATTGGGCTGATTGGGCCGAAACTAAAAATCCATGCCATGGATAACTTGGTGTGAAAGAACGGACCCGGTTTTCTCATTTGAATTACGTGCATCTCCACGTGAATAATGGGGATCCGAATCTGAGGAAGCAGCGGTGCAGTGCGTTGACGAAGCGGTGAGAGAAAGAGAGAAGGAAGCAACTGGTGATGGAGGAGAGAGAAGATTAGGGTGGTCCTGCTTGCGATTTTCGCCTCTGTGGGTTTCTCCAAATTCCAGTTTCTTTCAATCCCTAACGCTTTCTGGAATTTTGGGGTTGCTTACTCACCAAACCCCATTTCATTTGGGAATCTGCAAGAACTGATTCGTGCCGACGGTGTCGAAGGGGAAAACCTCGTTGTTTTTGAAACTCTGGGGATTGGTGTAGTTTGGTTTTGTTAATTTCGAAGATGGCGTATAGGAGGAGACAGCAGGCAACTTCAAGACCTTCGGCAGCATTTGAAGAATTTGCAGACGAAGGAATTCGAAACCCTCCTCCTCCGTCTTCTTTTGAGGCTTTGTCCTCTGATATTGACGGCTCATTTACGTCGTCTCCGTCTTCACTAGCTGCCAAAGCCATCAGAGCATCTTCGGCTCGTCGGGACTCTTCCCTCTCCTCTGCTTACCGTCACTCCAACCTCCCCACTGCTCCTCCGGTTGCCCAACCCCCAACTACTTCACCTGTATCTTCTAAGGTTTTTGCTACCTTCTTTATCCTCTGCTATGGTTTGATGGGTCATGGGTACTGAAGTGGTATTTTCACTTGGGTGGACCAAAAAATGATCCAAAAGAAGGGGGTTTCTCTGTTAGGCATGAAACTAGAGGAGAAAGGTCTAATCTTATTTGTGATATATCTTTACCTTATACTAATCTTTTAAACTCTAAGATTTACACTACCGAGGACGTTAAGGACGATGTATTCTTGTTATTTTATGTAAATTAGCCGGTTTAATTCCTGCCGTCGACTAAGTATTTACTTCTTAGTTGTGACATTTAGTTATGAAGCATTCCTATATTCTCGTAGGTCTAGGCTGTTCGAGTGCTGCTGCTTATATTCAATCATTGTGCCAGACTTATCTTTTGTTTCTGACAATGACTTCTTGAATAAGTTTTTGGTTCTTCATTTGGACTGAAATTTTATAACTTCAAAGGGTTCTTTTGTTGATCTCTTTCGCAACCAGGGCAATGATTAAAGATGATATCATAAGTTCCACTGTTCCAGGTTTGTGAAGTTTGAGAGTTGATACCATCCAATTTTGTTGGCACAAAAATTTGAAGTTTGACAACTGACATACTTTCTGAAGTTCCTGATCATTCGAATGAAAACCTTTTGCACTTCTGGCTTTTCCTCTGGATTTACATTATTTTTTGGGGTGTTTTGGTCACATTTTCTTGGAAACAGATCGTCATAATCAGTAGCTTTACGTTATCTAATAATTTTTAACTATGGTGGTCTTGATGTATCAAACTGCTTTTATAGCTCCCTGATTCAATCCCATATTCATTTTGCCCCTCTTGCTCTCGTTGGATCACCAAAACATGGATTGGTCCTTTTCTTTTGCTGCCATCTCCCTTCTAATAAATTTCTCTTTTAGCAAATGAGGAGAGGAAAGCAAACTACTGGCACATATTACATCTTGTTTTGATAGTTAATGTTCATTTATTTGCAGCTTCAAGTTCCTATTTTAGTACTGTTTTAAAACCAGTATGATCTGTATTCCAATGTATCTGTTCAGTTTAAAGCCAATTCCTTTTTCCTTCATTGATGTGATCATTTTTTAAGTGGTTTCTTTGACAGGAATTACCATGTTTCATGTATTAAGTTCTTAAAAGAAAGATTTTTGCATTTATGCTGCCGCCAGTTAAACACTGTTATTTAATGAAAGTTTCAAATGGACATTTGAGTCATTGGCTATCTGCTGCTTCCTTAAAATACTATTGCTTTCATCATCTTAATACTTTTTTGTCACCTAGTAAATTTAGTCGTTCCTATAGACCTTATCATGTGCACTGCCTCTTCCAGCATCTTGATTTTAAATTAGTTGTCATCTTGAGACAAAAGCCTTTCCCTGTCATTATGACAACAGTATCATTTATGTATGCTTTTGAGCCTTAACTTTTTGCGGAGCAATGGCATGTTCTTCTTGCTGTGTTATTTAGTGGATGCATTTAATTAGCATTATTTTATGTAATAGTTTACGACTTTAGAAATAATTGTCTCCGGTCATGGAGTTGAGTCTATTGGTTTGGAAACTATGTGCTCCGGTGCATATATTTTTTATTTGAGTTCATCCACTAGATTATATTTGTGGACAATAAATGAAAGCATGATATTGAATTCCTTAATCTTTAGAGCATTAAAGATTGGGAAATGGATGCCAAAACCATATGCTTACTTTTCTCTCCCACTCTTAATTTGTATTCTTCAGGCTGAACACTCTATTTTCATGATCTGAAGTGTCTGTTTCTTTCTGCCCCACTTGTTATGTTGTTCGTAATTATAGGATTCAAGAGTCTACGAATATACATCAATGAAAACCTTGAATGAGTCCAAGCATGGATTTTGGGGGTCTCTGGCCAGAAAAGCTAAATCTATTATTGAGGACGAACAGGCAACCCTGCATTCTAAAGCACCTGAGAGGATGGAGCCACAAATGCCTGGCGCAGCTTCTGGGGGCAAGGTGAGAGATTAGAATTATATATTTGCCACCAGAACATTGTAAATTGATTTTGTATTGCTCCCCCCCCCCCCAAAAAAAAAAGAAGCTTTTATCAGACTACGGAACTTTCAAGTTGCTCAAGGTTTGACTAGGGCGCTGGCAAAAAAGAATAGTGAATTCTCTTATTATAATAAGCTAAATAGCTTCTTGCATTGCAGGTAACTATTTAAACTTCAGGGAAAACACAAAAAAAATGAAAATATCTCATATATAGTAAAGTAAAAAAATGATAAAACTATTTAAAAACATTTTTGCCGGATGTGACCTTTAGTAGAATAATCTACATTAATGAACATTAAAATATCTTCCTTTCATATAGAATAAATATTACAAAAAGTAAAAGATGTTAGGAACGGTGATGAATTTTAATAAATAGCAAAAAGTAGATTATATATAATTTGTAGTTTGTGATATGTGAATGTAAATAAATGTAAATATAATAAGAGGCAGTTAGTTGGGTAGTTATAAGAAGGGGCTGAGTCATGTTGTCTATAAAAGGGGTAAAGCAGTGTATTGGGTGATTATTGATATATGAATGATGCGTAATAAGATGAATCTGTCTCTCGTCTCTTCTCTCTCTGCTCTCTCCCTTCCTCTCTCGCTCTCATTCCCATCTAAATCCTATATCAGTTTGTCATCCTAAAAAACGAAGAAAAAGAAAAGAAGTTGCATCTGATGTTGGGAAGGGTCACTTATTGCACCAAAAGGTTGACTAGTGAGATAAGAATGTTTCTCTATTAATCTACTATGGCTGGTTCAATCGGTATGGAAGTTGAACTTTTTTGTGTTCTCCTTGTTATGGAAATTGAGATGTTTCATTGTAACAATTTGTGCATTTGGCTTGTTAATGGTTTCTAGTTATATCTTGAACTGTCAAATTTGATTATCGTTTCCTTCTCTCTGTAGTTCCAAAATTCAAATAACTCAGACGAGAGCAGTCTCAAAAGGGACAACCCAAAGTTACTTAAGGGATTCGATGCCTTAACATCTTCTCTAAGCAATATTGGCAGCACCATTGGTAATGCCTTGGAGGTAATCTTATAAAACGTTTCACCTGTAGTTTATCTTTCTGTGAGTGTTCCATTCTTGAAAATCTACAAGATTTCCATGTTTATTCCCTTTTATGGGATTAGTTAGTAGAGTGGATTATGATGGGCATATTCACCTATGCATGTACTGTTTGGCTTTGGGCTCAAGTAAAAAGAATATATGAAGTTACTATCGTATTGTAGGTTCTAAACTTTTTAAAGCTGGAGGCATCAACCCCCCCCCCCAACACACACACACACACAAAAGAAGCAAAAAAGCCCATGGAGTTCAAGATCTTATTAGCACTACAATACACATTTGCAGGAGGGTTTTACAATTGTGGAGAATCGGACATCAGGCATCATCCAAGAAACTCGTAATCATATAAAGAAAAAACCTGGCAGCTCTGAGTTACAGAGGCAGGAGGCAAACCCTTCTGCTACACGGCAACACTCCCAATCACGGACCCAGAAGCAAACAGACCAAGAACTTCAACTGAAGGCATCTCGCGACGTAAGGTGGCAACTGTGTATCACTTTTTCATGTGGTCAAATGAAATTGTGTGATCAATCATTGTTTGCCCTGTCTATATTGCTCTGGTAAAAAAAAAAATGCTTTCTAGAATTGGATTCTGTGCATGAGGATTGTTTTGATTTGTTGATTATGAAAAGCAAATTCACTATACAGTGTTAAATTCTCGGTGTGGCTGCTGGGAATTGTATGAAACTTAGATCAACATGTTAAGACAGATGGATAATAATAAATAACCTAGCAGTTCATATGGGAGTAAATTAAATTTTTGGCATTAGCTGTGGCTGCTTTGTTCTTCTTAATTTTGGGACCATGGTCTGGTATTGTTAACGTGCACAATGAAAGATGAGGGCTGTTTCCTGTTGTAAAAAGTGAGTTTAGCACTTAACTTCATCACCTAATCAGCATGATAATTGGTTGGGTTTCTGTTGTTATTTATAATCTATAAATGGATCTTCATTGGATAGATTAATTTGGTTTCGGTATTAACCATGAATTGAACCAGCTATCATTGATTGTAGAAAATGATAAAGCTGAACCAAACCTGCTAGAGATGTTAATAAAATAAATCTTTAGCCTTCTCCCAAGTCCTAACAGGTTAAGCTTGAGATGGAGTCTTTGACATGGTATTGGAGCTTCTAAGATCATATGATGAGAAATTTGATCCTTTCCATCCTCATTTTCTTAATTTGCAGCACAAGGTATGGCAGGTTTGTACTCCATGAATACTTCTTCGAGCCCAATGGGCTATTGCTGGAGGAAGGTAGTGATAAAATTGATCATGGGCATTCTTCTAACAACATTAGCATTTAGGATGATATGGTTATTGACAAAGACAACAATTTCTACTGTACCAATCATGTGGTGTATGCTTCTTCACTGACCGATGGCTACTGTACAGGAAACCTGTCCTAGTGGAACTCCTAAAGGATTAGGAGTTCATTATTATGAAAAATTCATATAAGTAATTATTATTTAGGGGTCTCACAATTATTTCTGAGTCATGCTTAGTTGGGATGAAGGGGGAAATTGGAAAAGGAATGTGTATTTGGACAATGAAGTCTTAAACCTTTTGTCATTTTCCCTCTTCATTAACACTAGCTCATGTTCTCTCCAACCAATTATTGCTGTGTTTGAAGACCTGCAGGTCATATTTTTTTCTCCTCTTTATATCTTCTTAGAACTCTATGTAGCTGATCCCACCTAGTGGAATATGGCTTCTTGTTGTTTTGTATATCTTCTTAGAACTAACATTAGAATGGCATTCCATTCTTAAAGCATTTTGTTCTTATTTGATTTTTGCAATGGCTGATTACTTGTCCCAAAATTTTCATGGTGCTTTCTCTAGTTCTTGATCATTCCATGCATTTTCCTTTTTTTCCTCCCATTTTTGGTGAACCATGGATTTTCTTTTTATTCTCGTTTGAAGGTAGAGCTTATTTATTTTGTATTCTCAAACACAGAGAGAGAGAGAGGGAGAGGGAGGGAGGGGAGGAGGACGTGTGTGTGTCCTAGTTGCTGTGCTCTTTAGCTTTTAATAATATTTATCATTGGCATTCCTTCCCACCATCATATGAAATCATGCTGATACTATCATATTGTCTTTGCTTCTCGTGTAGAAGGAATATTTAGACATGGGTTATTTTGTTTCACCTTGTTTATTTTAACAGGTTGCAATGGCAATGGCTGCCAAAGCGAAGTTACTTCTTCGGGAGTTGAAGACTGTTAAAGCTGATTTGGCTTTTGCAAAAGAACGATGTGCACAGCTGGAGGAAGAAAACAAAATTCTCCGTGAGAGTCGTGAAAGGGGAGACAACCCGGAAGATGATGACATGGTATGCGGTTTTATCTTTTAATTCCATTATTCCTTGTATAATTAACAAAGCTGATTCTTTGGTTTAATTAAATGCTTGTTTTTTTCCCTTCTGTTTCATGTTTAGATATTCAATTTGAACTCTAAGTTCCCCCTCAAGGAATGTGGTGAGTCATTGCACCAAGTAATTTATTTCTTATGATAACATTTCCAATCCTGAATCCAGATACGACTTCAACTTGAAACACTATTGGCTGAAAAAGCTCGTCTGGCCCATGAAAATTCTGTTTTTGCCCGGGAGAATCGCTTTCTGAGGGAAGTTGTTGAATATCACCAGCTTACCATGCAAGATGTTGTCTACTTTGATGAGAGCAATGAGGAGGTGACAGAAGTTAATCCTCTTAACTTGCCTCCAGGACCTCCTATACAGCCTGATGATTCCATAGCTTCGTCTGTAACCACACCATCACTGTCTTCACCCGCTGCCATCAGCGTCAACGCAGCAAAGAGCACAGAACTGGCCAGAAGCCTCTCGCCTCCTATTCCAGGGAAGGAGGTAAAGACTTCAGAATTGACTAGAACCAGGTCGTCATCTCCAGGAATGGACCACCCCAAATGACATGAAATGCTCCTGCTTCTTGAATGGCACTACACTGCTTCTCTAGATTTGATGGGAAATGTTTTGAATGGTAACAATATCACGTTGCTTCCTTTGATTTGTTATTATTTATTTGTTGGTCCTGTACATTTCATGGTCGTCATCCATCACCTGTGATGTGATATTACTTTTGTTGTATAACTTAAAAGCTTTTTGGTTCCTATTTATTTCTCAGCGTAAAACTAAAATCTAAGCTGGTTTCTGTATAGCGGCATTGGCCCCAAAAGGGGAAGTTTCTGTATAGCAGCAAATTGGTGTCCTGGTTCGGATGGTTCCATTCAACTGTTGTCTCTGCATCATGTAATTTGATCATGTCTGATACAGTGAAGTTGTAAGGAAGTTTGTTTCTTTAATGGCCATTAATGGTTTTTTTTTTTAAATTTATATAATTTTTAAATTCTTTTCTAGTTGGTTTATTTGTATTTCGAATAAAACAGGTACGTCAGACAATCAGAACAAGAAAAACAAAAGACCCTCCATCAATTTCCCACCTTGGGTAGCCATGGTGGGATTTGATCAGGGCTGTGTAAAAGTTTTCTGGTCTAGTTGGATTCAACTTAAGACAAATTAGGTCCTGTTCGGTTTGGATAAAAATTGATTTTTCAGGATCAAAAAGATCAAATTCTTTCTTTGGGTTGGCTTTGATAAGGGATTAAGCATTTGGACCATTTGGTCAAGTTTGGTATTGTAAATTTACTTAATATAATTATAATTAATTTATTAATTATTATTACAATAAGTTAATTTATAATAGTAATTAGTATTTTTTTTATTTTATACTTGTTAAGTTATGAATATTGAGCAAAATTTGATCAATCTCAGTCTTCTCCTTTTATTAGTAAAATTTGTTGTTAACTTAGTGTAATGGACTTTAGATATATTAAAAATTATTTAATTTGAATCATTTGTGTTGTAATTGAAATATATATATATATATATATATTGGGGATGATTGTGGATTTATAATTGGTGTGATAAATTTTGTATGACTATAAATAATTTTATTATGTTAAAATAAATTGTTACCTTTTATAGATGAAAAGGGAGAAAAAAAAAACAACACGAGATTCTGGACAAGATCAAGATGAATTTCTTAATTCTACTAGACCAATCGGGTCTAGTTCAGTTTCCGTTATGCTAAAATCAGACTAGATCATGGAATGTTTAAACTCATTTTTTTTTTAATGAAAAGGACCAACTTTTAAGTTAGGTTAAAATTCTGTCGGATTAATCATTTGTTCAACCTTAGATTTGATCAAAGGGGCAGGCATTGAAAGACGTGGTCACTGGTGAGCAACATTTGCTAGCCTATCATCACGACAATTGTTCTGTCCTAACAGCCTGATGTCTTCCAGAGTGTCCCTGTAAGGGTGATCAGTAGCATTATCTCCAGGGATTAGGTTGATGCTCCCACACATTAGCACGAAAACTTAACTTTCTTAACATTCTTGGCCCACCAAGCTTCATTCATTTTTGAAGAGCTCCCACACACAAAAGATACTCTTGCACTAAAGCATTTCTCATCTTGTGCATTTTGGGCAAAATTCCATTACCATATTTGTATTTATTAACCAACAATTCAACCCACAGGTCATTGTTGGTACAAACGAGCTTCCAACAAAGTTTCATAATCAATGCTTCATTTTGTAGTATGACGTCTTTGATTCCCAAATCCCCTTCATTTTTCAATTTTAAAGCTTCCTCCAAGAGCTATGGAGGGGGAGGAGGGGAGATGAGGTCGTGAAAACAAGAAATTTTATTATCCAATATTTAAAATTAAATATAAATGAGAAACCCTATGATTTTTTATAGAGCCCTATAAATAATAATAATAATAATAATAATAATAAAAATCTAAATCTGAATTAAATCATAATATAAATGATGTCGATAAGGTATCAAACTAATTTAGATATTTTATTTTATTTGAGATAATATTTAAAGATAAAAATAAATCATATATACTAAATCAAATAATACTAAACCCTAGGTATTAAATCAAATCTAATACACCTTAAATTATCTAATGGATATTCAATATCCTTATTCAAACAATCTTAATAAAATAATCCTAAATAAAATCAATTAAATCCTATTCATATTCCTACACTTAACTATCTAACTATTTTTTTTCTTTTGGCTGACATGTTAGTTTTAGTTAAAGATGCCTTGTATTTAAAATAAGAAACATTTGGTTTAATTGGCTAAAGGAGTTGAATCCTCTCACCCTATAATGTCGACTTCAATACTCATGTGTGAGATTGTTGTCGGTAATAACGGTTTCACATGGACAGTGAAGGTTCGGATTAATATGAAATAAGGGTAATATAGTATAACAAATTTTGATAACTGCAATACAATTTTTTTTATAAATGATATTTCCATTAAAAGGGTGATTTTTATCCTAATTAAATTAACATATATTAATTAGGCATATCCCCCTCGTACCTCAAGAAGTATACCTGTACAAGAAATGAGCTGCATTATTAGCCGAATTTATAAACATGCTATAAATTTTGTATTTTACATAGATGATATTGTATCAGTTATATAATTTAACTTTATACAATATCGTATTTGAGTCACTAAACATTCTTAAAAATTTTATTAGACTTGTACAACTTATTCATCAACAATGTACCCTATTCTAAATTCATGTGATTTTTTCCTCTTCGAATGATGAAGTCACAAAAAATTTTCCCCATTGAGGTGTAAAGGACATTAAATCTTTTTTTTTTCCCTAGAAGCAGAGATTAATAGATTATTACGCTACTCAGAGCAGTTTAAAGAGATGAAAAGATGAAAATGTGAACTTTTCAAACTATTACTTTTTCCGACCTTTTCACTTTTACCATCGACTTTGCAGTGTTGTGAAATGGGGAATGCTTTTTCAGTTTTTATTATTCATCCCAATTTTATTGACAATAAAAATTTTCACTGTCATGTTTTTATTATTAATAAATAAATTGACTCTTCAAAGCTTATGAAACGTGTTTGACTAGAAGTATTTAAATTCAGAAATATTTCTTTTGCATGAGGCACCATCTTATTAGAGGAAGAAATATTAAAAATATTTTAAGATTAAAAATTTAGTTCTGAATAGCTCTGAACAGGCACAATTTTTTCCTCCTTGGATGAGTATGTCATTTTTTTTTATATAAATAAAAGTTTAAATAAGTTGTCTTTCAAGGCTCACCGAGAAATTTTTTTTATCAGTAATAGGATTTCAATCTCACAACTTTATAAGTTATAAATTAAATTTTTACTAATTAGATCTTTTATGGATGAGTATAATCATTTTATTTGCATATATGAACCGTACACATCTAATTTAAGCAATCTAAATTAAATTTAAAAAGTCAAGATTTTATAAAAAATTAAAATATAATTAAAATATAAACTATCCGTCTGATTTGGGAATTTAAATTAGATATGCATCATGCATGTTCCTAAATCCCAAAAAAACGTTAGGGATGCGGGGAAGATTGTTTTACAGAACAAGAAAACATATTTTTAACAACACAGGAAAAATATGTTTTATTATCAATTAATTATATCTATCTCCATATATTTATAAACAATCTATTGTCCAAAAAGGAAACAATGAGGGTCATCTATTTTTTTTTTAATTTTGACTTGAGTCCACATTTTTATCTCCGCTTTAATTTGAATCGAGTCAAGGACCACAATACATGAAGTATTTACTATAGTTACATAATTAGAATTTAGATTTAAAATCTACTATTAAGTTATATTCTATAATCTTTCATCAACTTACGGCCTATTTGACTCCACAATTTTCACTTTTGAAAAGCACTTTTTCACTTTTCATATGGGAAAAGTTATTTAAATATTACAGTTTTTAAATATTTCTTCTTTTTTGGTCAGCTATTTTTTAAACATTTTTAATATTTATTTGTATAATAAAAATTATAAATAATCATAAATCAATATTTTTTTTATAATTGTACATTCAAAAACATATTTCATTGTATATAATTTAAATAATAATTTATCAAAATAACTTTTAAAAAAATATATTCAAACTCAAATTTCATTCAAACAATTACTTTTAGCAAATACAATTTTGACAAATTAATTTTTAGTCAATAGAACCCAACCATGCACTTAGTATTTTTAGTGAACACTTAGACCTCATTTGATATGATGGAAGAGTTTTTTATAGAATCGGAATCGAAATTGAAATTGAAATCAAATTAGAATCAGAATAAAATTGAGTTATAAATGTATGTTTGGTATGAGATGGAATTTGAATATATATTAATAAATATATATTAAAATAGATAAAGACCAAAATAACCTTATAAAAAAAAAAACTAGCCATATGATGGAGTGTATATGTGGGGTACTTATAACAATTTATGGAATTGCGGCAATTCCATCATGATGAGATGAAATTGAATTTGAGTATTTTGACAGAATTGGAATTCATAAAGAATTGGATTCATGCATACAAACCATTAAAAGCATGATTACAATTTAATTTCATTTCTCTCGAATCTAATTTAATGTACCAAACATAACCTTAGTGTCAATTGATTCTAACTTAGAACTCCTTAAAACTTGAATGGACTCACTTGTAACTTACATGAACTCAAGAAAGCCAAACAAACTTGACAAAACTTGGTGCTATAAGATATGAATCCAAGCCCCACCATCATGTATTAAAAGCTTACGATATAAGTTGATGTTTATATTTTTACTACTATGATTTTATCTTTGTTTCTTTTTGGAGTTTAAATTAAATTTGGGAAAGGGAGAAATAATTAAGAGTGAAAGAATGTTAAAATGAAGAAAGAAAAGAAGCAATTGGGGGGCAGGTAGTTGGTTGTGGCATTCACTGCATCTGCACATCACCAGCTATTTCCAGCTCCTTTTCTCTCTCTGCCCCCCATTTTTCCCTAACCCTAATCAAATTCTTGACACTGACCTTTTTCTTCTTCCCTTTTTTCAAAATTTAAACAAAAATTAAGTTTATATAAATTCAATTTTATACAGTATATGTTTTTGGCCTCAATAAATATTTATACAGATACTTCTCACATCGGTAATGGGGCTTCAAACCATATTTTATATGTTGTAGGGTAGTAAATTTTTATCAATTAAACTATAACATTTGTTGCCTTAAACTTTTTTATATCTGATGATTTATTTACTGTTTATTTAGTACTTGATAACTACTTTTTATATGGTTAAGTATTACATTATTGTTTAAAAATTTGACACATTTTTATTGATAGCTGATAAAATATTCAAATCTTGATTTACTTACATAATTTTTAATAATCATCTTTTATTCATCAATAATAATAATAATAATAATAATAATAATAATAATAATAAACAACGAGTCCTTATTGTGAAATTCACCTTTTCCCTCTTCTTTTCCCAAAACGTTGTTCATCATCAATCCAATTGTATCATATGATTGAAAATGTACGGGTGATCGGTGAGAAATTTTCAAGAATCGAATCTCGTTTGAAAAAAGAAAAATTACGTGATTTTCGGCTTAAAGAAAAGTGTGAGCGTGAGAGAGAGTCGGGTTGGGTCCTAGAAGAAGCATCGAGTCACGCATGGGATACACTGAGAAAGTCTGCTTCTCCAACCTCTGTTAACATTTCACAATGAAGCTTCAATGTGGGTTCATTACAGTGAGTCTTCACCTCCCCAATCTCATACCTAAACTTTTCATCTGAGTCTCCTCTTGATTTGTCGCTGGAATTTGGGTCTTTCTGATTCTGTTTATTATAGCCATTTTACTTTGTTTTTCATTTTCTTTCGAATCAAGATTTGCCCATTCCTTGCTCATTTAAATCTCAAAACATGTAAGAATTCCAAGATTTGTTGTTGACCCATTACAGGAATTTGGTTGCTTGAAGGAGGGGTTTTGATATAATTCGATGATTTAGGTGAAAAAGTAATATGGAAATTGGAAATTTCAGGGTTTGGCCTCTCACTCTTGGTGGGTTTCATTGAATTTGAAGGTACGAATGAGATCTTGATGAGGGTCCGAACCAGTTTCTTTGTACTGCTCGCATTGCCATGTCTGTTTTCTCTTCCATTTCTAAATGCTCAGTCATGGCCATCACCAAATTCTTCTTTATCAGCACGCTCATTGGATGCCCTTCTCCAGGACTATGCCTTTAGGGCCTTCATTAGGCCAAGAACTGGTGTACCCTACGATGGGAAAGTTCCTTCTAACCTAACAGGAATTAGCATTGCGGCGTTAAGGCTTAGGAGTGGTAGTTTGAGAATCAGAGGCGTTGATAGCTATAAGGAGTTTCAGATCCCAACTGGGGTTGTTGAACAACCTTATGTGGAGAGGCTTGTGTTGGTATATCACAACTTAGGCAATTGGTCTGATCATTTTTACCCTTTACCTGGTTACACTTATTTAGCTCCTGTTTTTGGTCTGTTAGCCTATTCTGCTGCAAATTTGTCTGCAACTGAGTTGCCTGAACTGGACATAAGAGCATCTGATCAGCCAATTTTGATCAAGTTCCCGGATGTGAAGAAGCTGAAGCAGCCACACTCTGCATCACCAACATCACCATCACCCAAATGTGTGTACTTTGATTTAAACGGTTCAGTTCAATTTGACATACTATTACCCGGAAATGTGTGTTCAACAGGTCAACAGGGGCACTTCTCCATAGTTGTGGAAGAGTCTGAATCTCCATCTCCTTCACCGTCACCAGCACCTTCTGCTTCTGGTGGAGTCCCAAGTGAAGAAGGTCATGGGATGAAGAAGAAGAAGAAGAAGAAGTCTTATATTGCATGGATAGTTGTTGGATCTGTGGTTGGTGGGTTGGCTTTGTTGGTAGTGTTGTATCTTGTGGTTGTTAGGTTTAGGAGGTCCAAGGAAGCGATGAGGATACAGGAAATGGAATGGGCTGCAGATAGCAGTGAAACCTTGCACATGGCATCCATTGGAGGAGGGGCCAAAGCACCTCTGGCTATGGGGACTCGTACAAGACCAGTCATAGAAACTGACTATGTTCCTTAGGATCTCTGACTCTTTATTCTTGCAGCAGCATTGTTTGGTTTCTTCTTCTTATTACCTTCACTGGGATTTTGATTTTTCTGTTCATAATGAGCCCTCATGCTCAAGTTCAGTTCAGTTCAGCTTTCTTGGTTGTAATCTGTTTGAGTTCTTTCTTTCATTCTCTTCTGCTTACATTGGCATGAGGTAGGATCCTTTCTTCTATGTTACAATAACACTCTTCTGTGAAAAAAGTTATCAGATCCATTGAGCTACTTAGAACCTTTGTTAAGCGCTTTTTGGTTTGTAATCAAACCTGCGTTGCTAGCTTGTTTCAATGACTAAATCCAAAAGCAATTTGGGTTACAATCTGCACCCTCCTCCTTCTTGTGTTTTGTTTTCTTCCAAAAACAATTTAGATTATACCTATCCCTCCCAGTTGTTGTTTTGGTTAGATTTATTTGTTTAAAATTTTTAATCTTTTTTTTTTTGGGTATCCTTTCTTAACAACAATAGCTGGAAATAAATTTTTCTTTGACTCATCATTTTTTTTCATGCAATTCATTTCTATGAAGGGGGAAAAAAGGATTGTTCATGTAAGATTCATATTGCCTATGGTTATTCCCCTTGACAATGAAGCAACAAAAAAAACTCTCTTTGAAACGAGGGGAGTGCAAACAATGTTGACAATTATTGAAATAGACAATGACAATTGCAATTTCAGTTTCCAAATCTTAATTGCATATTAGATTGATTGTAGTTTGATTGATATGTCATGACATTGATTAATGAATGCTCTCTGTCTCTATTTATAAAAATCTGTTCGGACATTGACATAGATCAATAAAATAGTTAATGTGTTGTTTCTTATTTCTAATTTTACCCTTAAGTTAATGTCTCTTCTTTTTCTTGGTGAGAAAAGTAGACTTTTATTTTCACTATTATTCATCAATTATTTAGTAGGGATGTATCTCCTAAAACTACAAACAAATTCTTATAAAAAGGAACAATATATCTCTAAAATAGGTTCTTATAAATAGTATTAAAGGGAGTGACAATTAAGTGCTTTTATTTTTGTTCTAGTGACCTTGAAACCATGTTTTCTCAAAATCTTTTTGAGGGAAGCTTTGCCTTAGAAAACCATCTAGCAATGTGGAATTGGGTACACTTTTCCTGATCATGTGTAAAACTTGTTATCTTTTTTCTTCTACCACATTAAAACTTGTTGTCTCAATTTCACAAGGGGGGGATCTATGTTATCATACATGCAACTTCTGTAAACAATGGGGTAATGTTTTAAAAACTGAATAACATGATAAGATAAAAAAGTCAATGGGTCATAGTTTTTACAATTTAACTAATTAGATTGGTAATCAACTAATGACATGGTAATTAAAGAAAAATAATATTCATATGCAAACACACATATAATATTAAAAATAATGATAATGTCAGTTTAGTTTAGAGTTATTTAGTCATAATATATTAAGTTTCAATGTCCTTACTTTTTTTCACATGTATATTTTTTATTTATCTTATCTGTCCTTTTAAAGAAAATGAGATTTCAATTTTTCTACAATTTAATTCATACAATGCCAGTAAACAAATCATGCATTCAAAATTTTACTATAATAATTTAGAAGGAAGTTGATATTAATATTTTCAAATTGAATACAAAATTTTATCACAGAGTAAAAAGAAAAAAACAATTCAAGATTGTTCAACCGAACTGCTTTTGTATTTGGACAACAGTTCAATCAATTGAGTTGATCTAAGTCTTAAAACAAATGGGAAATTTATTTGCCCTGACAAAGCATTGTACCCTTGTTTAATATTTGTTTTTTAACCATCTAATATCTAATATTGCATGTAAGATATAAGTATTACGAGGCTTAAATAGAAAAATTTTTAATAATAATTTTTTATTCATAAAATAAATAATAAGTATCCTATTACAATCTTCAAGTTTTGAATGGTAATTATTTAATTTTTGATAAAAATTATTTACTTTTATATATGTTGGAATTGGATGACATTTATCGTCATACCATGCTGCAATGAACTTTGGGACTTGACTTCTTTCCATTTATTTTCTTTTCATTTTTTTTCTATTTACCATCTCAACCCTAAATTAGTTTTTGAATGGTTAGGAATTAGTATTTCATGAAATTATTATTAAAATTTGAAATTATGATAAACAAATTAATAAATTTAACATATAAAAACTTTAATATAAATTACAATTCAAAATTCAGGATTGTAACTAAAAAGATAAAAAAAATTAAATTTTATAAAATATTAAATCCTGATTATTAAAAAATTGGTCTAAATATTGAGATGGTAAATGTAAATGGTGAGAAAATGAGGACAAACCAATTCCACCATCGAAAAGCCATAAACAAGTTACTCCGATTCGGGGTCGGATTCGGAGTTAGGACATTCGAAAGTTTCGGATCCTAGGGTTTTCACTTTTCGGACACATTCCAACACCAACGCGTAACTGCATTTTCTTCTCCCATACAGAACCGGATTCGATCGGAGGAAGACGACGACCGCAGGTTGGAACAACTAAGATGGGGAAGCAACCGGTTAGGATGAAGGCCGTGGTCTATGCTCTTTCACCTTTCCAGCAGAAGGTTATGACTGGTCTCTGGAAGGATTTGCCTTCCAAAATTCACCACAAGGTCTCTGAGAATTGGATCAGCGCCACGCTTTTGCTCGCTCCTCTTATCGGCACCTACACGTATGTTTACTTCCTTATCGTTGGATAGTCCTTTTTGCTTATCCTTTCATGTGGTTTTTTAATTCGTTTGCACCTTCTTTTGTTGTTTGATCTGGGAAACGATGGGTTTTTAATTCGATTTCCTTGTCTTATATTCTTAGAACCATCATTTTTCTGTATGTTTTATGGGTTAGATGACTGTGGCTACACAATAGCTTTCAAGTACAGATTTTAGGCATAAGAGCTCGTTTATTGTTGTACCTTAGTTTTTCTAGCGTAAATCTTTGTCTCGCTCATCTCTATTATTAGCACGATGATATTCCTGCAGTAAGTAGGATGATGAAATTGTTATGAACGCCTGATTTTGATTCACAAGGTTTTTTAAAACTTCTTTCATAAGATTCTTGCGCTAAGTAGGATTATCGAATATTGTTATAAATATCTGATTTTGATCCACAACTCACAATGTTAATATTAATGCTGAGGCCAAGGAGGAATAAGAGTCCATGTGAGTCCATGTGATCAATTGATCAATAGAGGGAGAGAGAAACAGGTAAGGAGAGGGAAGATTTTAAAAATACTATCAGGCTCCAGAATTTAGTTACAGAGGAAGCTGGGGATAGTGTTGTCAGCATATGCAGTCTTACTCAGAAGATGCAATATATATTTTCCCCCTATGTTGCTCTTCTGTGTAATATACAGATTACTGTATATAAATTTCGTCTCTACAGTAAGAAGGGTGTGGTCAGTTTTGACAAGGAGGAATATCAGTGATATCAAATTGGCCAAACAGTTCAAGTTTCACTCATGATGTTATTATTATTATTATTATTTGGGTATTGTTTTACCATTATTTATATTTTATTGTGGAGTGTGAATGGCATTTAATACAATTTTAGCAGCAAAGACATTTTTTCGCTTGCTAAATTTTTGATCGAATGGCACTCTGTTTGGATCACAAAAATAAACACAGAAGATAATGAGAAAACTATTTGGGGAGCAAAATTACAAAGACCCAAAATTTAATGAAAATATTTTCAGTCAATAAAATTCATGGGAGTGATGCATTCAAGGATGTTATTCCAGTGCATTGTATTTATGTTACATTGCTGTCAAGTTGTCCCTGAAACCATTGGTGTAGCCAATGGCATTTTTTTAATGCTTTTGAAGTGTTAGAACTCTAGACTTCTGTTAACACCCCACCCCACGTCCCCACCCCTCTAAGTTAACTACTAGTGGCTTCCAATGGCATTTCTTACTTCGTTTCTGCTCCAAGCGTGGTTTCTTCCTATAGCAGTATATAATTTCTAACCTTCATTTCTTCTCCAAACAGGCCTATGTTACTGTTAACTATGCCTCGGGGCAAGCATGTAGCTTGGTTATTCTGACTAACAGTTTTATCTTCTGGTTGCCATTCTTGTATTCATTGGAAAGATTAAAAAAAAAAAACATAGACAAATTTGATTGGAATTTTTACAGCAATCATTTCCATAGAGTAAGTGTCTCATTGTAGCTCTAAACGAGTTAGAGAAGCAAAAGAAGAAACAGGACTGATGTTAACTCGTTTGTTTTGCATTGCTGAGTTTAATTCATCTTCAATGGATATAGGTATGTTCAGAACTACCAGGAAAAGGAGAAGTTGGCTCACAGGTACTGAAGATCTGCAAGAGTATATTTGGATGATCTCTATACTTATCAGAAGATTTTTGCATTTTTGTTGTGTACCCTGCAAATAGCCTGAGACTGGTGAAACTCGATTTATATGGTTGAGATATTGTTCTACAAGTTTGGACTGTTACTACTTTTAGAAGCCTCAATGATTGTGATCTTCATGATGCTCATATGCCATCAACATGGTTGAAGTTAATTTTATGATGCCTTTGATTCGTAATGTTTTTGTACACTGCGTGTAATGCAAATAATATCAAGATTTATCAGGAATATGTGGTGGGCTCTATACGCCAGATCGTGTGTAAGGATTTTGGATCTCATAAATCGTTGCTTTGTCTCTTGTTGGGAAAGTGACTGGGTAAAATCTTTCAAGTTAATTTATGTGTTATAATGAGAGAGAGATTGATTGAAGGGAGATCTATCTAGTTGGCCAACAAAAGGGTGATCTATTTCAATAGAACTCACGTAGCATAAATGGGTTTTCTCATTTTTTGAGCATGTTTAGTTTTACATTGGAAATAATTAAAACTATGATTTTGGTGAAAGTAATTATTTGCTTCCACTAAAATTGACTTTATCTGATCCACAATGTAACATATTGATAACTACCTCACGGTTTCCCAAAAAATAAAAAGTTGGAACTTTATCGTGTAAGATACTTTACGATTTTGAGTGAAGTAAATAGAGTAAGGTATAGTTAAAAATATATGGTATGAACTATCCAATGTATTTGCCAAAAAAACAAAAGAATTATCCAATGTTTATGTTTTGAGTTGAGTAGGGCTTCTAGAAAATGTCTATATTGTGGAGTGAAGTGGGTATATCATATTTGAAGTTTTAAGTAGGTTGGATATAATAGCTAGATTTTTACAATATGTTAAATCAATATTGGAATTTTCAGAAAAGTATTTACAATTAATATTTGATTATGTTTCAAACATAATTGTTTTTCATAAGTGGACAACCGTGAGCAACAAAAAAGTTGGATTTCTTTTCAACATTTTTAAAATTTTCAGTCCTCGTGCTAAAAAGTAGAGAACCTTTCACGGCATACTCACTCAAAAGTTTTTTTTTTTTTTTGAGACAAATATTCGAAAGAATGTAAATATACTATATTATATATTAAAGCAAGAAGAAAATATTTAAAAAATACAAAAGGTGGGGGAAATCCCATAAGTAATCTTGAACAAACAGGCTAAAAAGTGTTTATGCCAATTAACCAGATTCTACTGAGGTTGTGTTACTCATGCCTCAAATAAAAATCTAACTATTTTCAATTAATTACTCAGTTCATTTTAAAGAACAATTATATCTATACTATAAATATTATATTGAAATTATAAATAAGGGAATAATGAAAAGATATCAATAAATATTGCATTGAATTTTTGAACTTGAAAAAAACATATATTTTGAAATTAATAACATGGTATAAAATATTTGGATTACATGTCCTGAAAAATTAAGACGCATTATCTATAACATATCAATAATATGATTCATCAAAATTTTTCAATTATATACATAGATATAATATATCAACAACAATTATTTTAAAAATCGTGAAACAATAATATCAATTTCAACATTACTCATTTAAATATAACGGCTCCTTCTTTAAATTTCATACAATATATTGAGAAATTGGTCTAATCCAGTGACGAATCTAGAAAAATTTAGTAATGGGGGCAATATTTATACCAAATATAAACATAAATATTTTTTAAAAATATAATTTTAAGTAATAATTAAAATAATATATAATAAATTATATAATAACATTGTAAATTTATTTTTATTATAAATAAAAGGGTAAACAATATTTTTAAATATGTATGCTTGATAGTTTTAAAGAAAATGTGGGGCAATTGATTTTTTATGGGGACAATTGCAATTTTAAAGAGGGGATAAGTGTAATTTAAACAAAAAAGTAAGTAATTTTTGCAAATTTCATGGAGGCAATTGCCCCCCTTCCTCAACGTGGATACGTCCCTGGTCTAATCTAAATTTATATATGTAAAACACATTATTGTTGCTGTCAATCTAAAGTTGAATGAATAATAGCAATGATATTAAAAAAACATTTTGTATGTTAAAATATCATGTATTGTTGTTGTTAAAATATCATGTGGGTCTCATAGTAAAAAAAAAAATGCAGGGTCCATGTAAAAAAAAATTAATAACACATATAAGATTCATAATAAAAATAATAGGTATGAGATATATTATTGATTGTGTATAAAAAAAAGATATATTATTTGTTACTTGTATTTTATATAGATATAAAATAATAAATTGTTGGAAATTTATGCCCAGCATGCATGGCAATATTTTAGTTTAAAAAGATAAAAATAAAAATAAATATTAAAAAATAATTTAGTATAATTAAAGTAAAATATATTTCTCTCCCCTCTATTTAACCTTAATTGCACTCTTTTTTATTTTTAAAACCCATACTAATCTCTCTTAAAATTAATATATTCAAGAGTTACAAAATACAAATATACTTTTTATTTTCATTTATCTAGCCATTAATTGACAGTTATACTTTGCTTGGATAGGAGGAAAGAAAATATAAGGAGAAAACAAGAGAGAAAATAACTTTTCTCATATTTAGATGAGGAAGAAAAAGTAAAAGAAGATAAAAATGAGAGAGAAAATGGGATGTGAAATTCACTACATCTTCTCCTTAAATTTTCCTTTTAGAAATGAAAAAATTTTAAGAGTAAAATTTTTGTTCCACCACTTGCCATCCTCTCTCCTTCTTATTTGTCATTTTTGTATTCCGCCTAGATGTGTTCTTCTTTCTCAACCTAAGTGGCAGCGGTGAAACTCTTATTATTAAGGGTCTTTCCACTTCTTTCTCTTCATTTCCCTCTATTTCCCCCCATCTCAACCACGCATATTATTTTATTAAATGAATTTTTTAAAATTATAAAATTAATGAATGGTTGAGATGGGGGAAGTGGAGGGAAAATAGAGAGAAAGAAGTGGAGAGGTTCTTCTCCCTTTCTCAATTCCATTGCTTCTTCTTCTTCAACAACATTTTTTTATTCAATTTCATTGGTTGACCTCTTCATTTTCTTCAATTTTTTTAATTTGTTTAATTCTATTTCATGGTGATAGTTGAACGCCAAATTGGTGTGAACTTTGGCTTTATTTCCCTTTTCTCCTTTTGCTGTTGAATTCTAGTTTTGATAAAATGAGTTTATAATTTTTTATTTTATATTATAATATATAACTTTAATAAATCATTCACTTTTAATTTTTTAAAAATAAATATAATATATTTTTACTAAAGTATTTGGTTTTTAAATATAATAATGTAAAAATATATTTCTTATAAATAATCTTATTATAAAATTAATTTTAAAACAATTTTTCCTTAAATTTATTTTTGTAAATAAAATTATATGAAATAGTGACAAATTTAATAATATTTGTTGGAGAATAAATTTCAGACTTTTGTAGATATAACCCATATTATAAGACCATAACAAGCAAATAACCCAACTATTACATTTATATTATAACCAATTTATTATATTTATCAATAATGTATTATTGTATATCAATGATAAATCTCTTATAAATTTTTAATAATAAACCTCTTGTATATTAATGTGAACCAATCATATTTTTAAAAATTTAAAAATTTGATTCATATATATTGGGCACATGATTTTTTTGGCCAGTAGGCCAATTTATCCAATAATATTTTTCTTCTTTAATTAATTATAGGATAGAACTTAACAGAAAATTTATTCTTTAATATAATTTCAAAGTTCCCCTCGCACAATTGAAGGAAGAGTACAAATGTAGGTTTTGCCTTCTTAAACCCATTATGGGAGCAACATATTTTAACATAAAAATAAATTATTATTTATATCTTTAATACATTTGGGTAAAACAAATCTTAAAATTGAATAAATTTTTATTTAAATTTAAATGTACATAAAGTAACATATTGCAAGTACACAAAAATAAATCATTTTAAAATTTTCATTTTTTTTAATTTTATGTTTACTCTTCAAATGATAAAAGCTCCTTACAAGAACTCAAAAATATCTCAAGAAAGATTTTACCTATGTATAAGTAAAAAAAAAAAAAATTTCTGTGCATCGCATGGGTCAAAATTTATTCTTTAACACCATAATTATTTTATATTGTAAAATACATCATTTTACTGTCAGAAACTTGCTTTTTTTTATATATTTTTTTTAAGTTTTTAGAGATTATTATGCGAGGCTGCACTAGTGTAAGGTTTATAGTGAAAAAATAATGGTAAATGTGAGACCCATGATAAAAATATTAGGTGTGAGATCCTATCATTTAGTGTTTATATTTTATATGTATGAGATAATAATATAAGAAGTATTTGTCCCACCATAAATCAATAGTGGGGTGAATTATGTACATACATACATATATATTTATTTTAAGTTTCTAGATTTTGAAAGATCATGTGGCATTTACAATGAAAATAAGTGTAAGACTTGTAATGTAAAATTGACATGAATATGGGACTTATAGGAAAAATTATAGATGTTGGACCTATAATTTGTAGCTTGTATTTTTTATCAATTAATTAAATGGAGATTGGTAAAAAAAAATTAACTATATGGGGCAGAATTTAATAGTAAAATTATTTTTCAATTTAATTTCAAAATTTTTCTCATATTGATCAAAAGAAAAGCACAAATACAAAAGACTAGCATATTCATCTCGAGAACAATACATTTAAAATAAAATAAGTTATTATTTATATTTTTAACATGCATATGCAAAATAAAATTTGAATAAGTTGTTATTTAAATTTAATTTAAATTCTAAGTAGATTCAAATAAATTATTTTTAATTTTATATTTCTATGATATTTTTAATTTTTAAATATTAAAATATCTTTTGCATCACACGGAAATAAATCTAGTTTAGCATAAATTTACAACATTTACTTATTCATTTTTTTAGGTTCTTTTTTGGAGTCCTGTAGAGGGTAATTAAGTAACGGCAACGAGAAATTTGAAACTCCAATGGCGCCATTAGGGCCGAGGTCAAATTTGTAATTTTGGGATTGCCTTCGGACCAGACACTGGTTCACTACACTGGCTCAACAATACAGCTGCTCAATACAAACTCTTCAACGTGCCTGCTTCATCGTCTTCGTCTTCATCGGTAATCTTTCCCCACTTTCTCTCTCTTATCAGCATCCAGCTTTTTCTTTTTGTCTTTCCATCTTTTTCTTCAATAAATAGCACCTGACCTATTGTCAAAATTTTGGAGGATCCTTTACTAGATATATGGAGCATATTCAAGGGCATATCTTCACATTTACATATGACATGGGATA